TCCAAATAACACAACTTCTATTTTCTTCACTAATTAACAAGATCACCCCCCCCCTCCTCGTCTACTCTCTAAAACCTTTTCTTTTCTCTTTTTTTTTTTTCATTCAAATTATATCTCACATGTGAAAATTCATGTTGTATAAAGAATAAAATGCCAAACCTACCCCATGTGCAGGAGAAGCCTAGAACTTTTAATATAAAATGATATTGAAATATACTAATTGGCAAAGACTTATTAATGGTCCAAATAAATGAGCCTTGGAAGTTCATTCTTCTTAATTACTGGATGTTGCATAAATTTATTTCAACTTTCTGTTAATTTATTAGATGTTACTTCTCAAGAATTTGATTATTTCAGCAAATATACATTGAAACTAGCTATTAATTAAAATACTAATTGATTAAACAAGACATATCCAATTACTAGAATGCTTACATGAATTACTGATGCTCATATGTCATACATAAGATCATGAAAATTACAGTCAATGATAAAAAGTCATACGAAGTTTTATGGGGTAGAACAGAAATGGACTACTCCTGCAGGTTGAAGATTCTGAAGCACAACTGGGGAGGAGAAGATTCTTAAACTTCAGTGGAAGTCTATTCATTCATATGAAGGTTGAAAGCTTCCACAATCCATGTTTAACCTTAAAAAAAATTAGCACCTGAACTAATGGCTTCCATTTCTCTTTATTTTCTCTACCTCATGCTACTATGCCTGTTGCCAATTTCTATCAGAGCTCAAAATATAACACTAGGTTCGTCATTAACTGCAGTGCTCAATGCTAACTCTTCCTGGACATCTCCATCTGATTGGTTTGCATTTGGCTGCCAACAGATAGAAACTGGAATGTTCTTACTAGCCATATGTGTTGTTGCTGAATATCCTTGAGTTCCTGCTTCAAGTCGGTTCTTCTTCAAATAGTCCTGCAAAATCCCGAGGTTTGTCCTCGGGGAGAAACTCCGATGCTTAAGTTAGTATTTTCCTCTCTCTTTTCTTTTTTTGTTCCGCCTATTTATCGAGTCTTACCTTGTAGGCTTTGTCCCGCTTGGCAAGGCACCCACGTGGCCCGTCCATACCCACGTGGCCTAGTCAATCCAATAATGGTGACATGGTGCGCCTGACGGAGTAGACGTTTTAGGTGGGTGTAACGTGCCTTAACGGAGCAACCGCATTAAATGCGCGTGGTGCGTTCTGGCGGAGCAGGTTCCTTGAGAAGGGGTGTTCTGGTACAGACGAGTGATCAGATGAGGGTGTGCCTATTGTGGCTGTCATACACCCACGGCGAAGTGCCGAGGTGCGGTTAGCTCTGAGCTCTGCAGCCGAGGTGTGGTTGGCTCTGAGCTCTGCACCTTGTCTTGTCTCGTGTGGCTGCCCTGAGCTCTGCAGCCGAGGTGTGGTTGGCTCTGTGCAGAGTTGGCTCTGAGCTCTGCACCTTGTCTTGTCTCGTGTGGCTGCCCTTACACTATTCCCCCCCGAAGTCATTCACTTGTGAATGATAGGAGGGAAGATGGGAAGGGTAGCGAATAAGAGTGGGGTTGAGGGGTGGTGTGTTTGATAGAGTAGAATAGTGGAGTGGCCAAGGCCGAGGTGAAATAGGTGACGCGTGGTCACTGTGGCCGAAGCCGAGATTAAATGGGTGACGCGTGGTCATAGGTGACGCGTGGTCATAGGTGACGCGCGGTCACTGTGGCCGTAGCCGAGATGAAATAGGTGACGCGTGGTCATAGGTGACGCGTGGTCACTGTGGCCGTAGC